TTGATGATGTTTACGAGTATGACATATCATGAGCTCAGGTGAGGTGAACACAGTCGGGAGCGTGAATGTTTTCTCATACACTAACAGGCCAGACCTGCTCATCAGAATGATGGAGGAGCAGCTTTAGGAAGCACTGATCTATCAGACCTGATTAACGCTGGACCAGCTTTTCATTTCATTGCACAGACATCAGGACGACATTCAGAACAGCTTTCGACACAGCAAAGAGAACTATCATTGTTATAAACGTTGTATGAACAATACATAGTAGTGTTATAAAAACAGCTGCAGATCCTGTGTTCAAACGTCTCCATGATTATCATATAAAAATTAACATTAAATATTGATCTCATATATATTTCCATTCAGAAAAGATGCAGCAGTAAGAGTAAAAACAAAAACTGTGATCAGTTCTCCATCATGAAGCTACTAAAATGGTTCAACTTTTCCACAGAACACAGTAATGGAGAAAAACCACTTGTAAAAACCAGACTAATTTTGAGAATCACACATGAATGAGACAGACAGCAGCGTTTGCTGAGCGTCAGGACGAAGACGCTTGTGTTTCTCCTCTAACGTGTTTCCATCTCGTTCTCCATCAGAGAGAATCGTCGTCTGAAGACTGAAGACTGGCACAATCCTACAATCTCCTGCCATGAGAAACAGGCCGTTTCTCTCTCTTTTGTAATCATGGACCCTCAGCAATGAAAACAGAAAATACGTCCTTTTCCTTGAATCAAGGAAGCAGAAGGAGTCCTAGAGAAGCTGGGGCTCGTCTCACTCCCTCACGATCACCGCTGCATGTGTGCTGCTCGTCTGACCTGCAGAAGACACCGGAGGAAACCCTGAAACACCAAAAACATAAGGACCGAGTGTGTGTGTGTGTGTGTGTGTGTGTGTGTGTGCCAAAAGACAGCGTTACTCCTGTGTGAACACCACATACCGCTTCATTCCTCTTTTCATAAATTAAATCAATGTGATAAACTTCACGACGGCTGTCTCATTTTCATCCACTGTTACACAAACAGAACGAGAACATGTTTGTTACACAGAGCTGGGTAGTAACTGATTACATGTAATCTGGATTACATAAACAGATCTCAAATTAAGTACTTCTAATTAGATTAAATCACATTTTAAAATACTCGTAATCTGACTACAGTTGCTTTTTTATGGATTGCATGAATACATATTATTCACACTAAAGCAATAATTTATTTATAATATATTGATTCTCCCCAATTCCTCTTTTTCATCTTTTAAATGTTCCTTTTGAAATGTCGTGGACATTCACTCAGAGATCAGTCATTAGTCAGGTGCTGCACAGCATTGAGCTGGATTCACAAATCATTTCAGAAGAGTTTCAGCATCGCATCAGCTACTGACCAACACCTTCATTTTCATGTGAATCATCACTCGGTGGGTTATTTTATCATGTATTACTTTGGAAGGCTTTGTCTTTCAAACACATTAAAATGCACAAATTCACTTTTTCGACTTTCTTGTCACCCGATGCTCTTTCATCGAATATATTTTTATTTGAAGTACCCCTGAGATTTTAAAATAAATATTTTAATAATGACGTATCACATTTGCATGTTCACAGTTCTCTGTTGGTTAATGGTGCGGCATCACCTGCTCCACTGTGAACTCCTGCAACACACACACACACACACACACACTCTCTCTCACACACACACACACACACTCTCTCTCTCTTTCTCACACACACACACACACACACTCTCTCTCACACACACACACACACACACACACACTCAGTCCTAGAGAAGCTGGGGCTCGTCTCACTCCCTCACGATCACCGCTGCATGTGTGCTGCTCGTCTGACCTGCAGAAGACACCGGAGGAAACCCTGAAACACCAAAAACATAAGGACCGAGTGTGTGTGTGTGTGTGTGTGTGTGTGTGTGTGCCAAAAGACAGCGTTACTCCTGTGTGAACACCACATACCGCTTCATTCCTCTTTTCATAAATTAAATCAATGTGATAAACTTCACGACGGCTGTCTCATTTTCATCCACTGTTACACAAACAGAACGAGAACATGTTTGTTACACAGAGCTGGGTAGTAACTGATTACATGTAATCTGGATTACATAAACAGATCTCAAATTAAGTACTTCTAATTAGATTAAATCACATTTTAAAATACTCGTAATCTGACTACAGTTGCTTTTTTATGGATTGCATGAATACATATTATTCACACTAAAGCAATCATTTATTTATAATATATTGATTCTCCCCAATTCCTCTTTTTCATCTTTTAAATGTTCCTTTTGAAATGTCGTGGACATTCACTCAGAGATCAGTCATTAGTCAGGTGCTGCACAGCATTGAGCTGGATTCACAAATCATTTCAGAAGAGTTTCAGCATCGCATCAGCTACTGACCAACACCTTCATTTTCATGTGAATCATCACTCGGTGGGTTATTTTATCATGTATTACTTTGGAAGGCTTTGTCTTTCAAACACATTAAAATGCACAAATTCACTTTTTCGACTTTCTTGTCACCCGATGCTCTTTCATCGAATATATTTTTATTTGAAGTACCCCTGAGATTTTAAAATAAATATTTTAATAATGACGTATCACATTTGCATGTTCACAGTTCTCTGTTGGTTAATGGTGCGGCATCACCTGCTCCACTGTGAACTCCTGCAACACACACACACACACACACACTCTCTCTCTCACACACACACACACACACACACACTCATCTGCATTCACCACCTTATTCTTCAACGCGCAAGTCAGCCGTTTTCTGTCAGCGTGCGAGACTTACGGTTGTTAGCCTCTGTAGGGAAATAAGAAAAACAGTACAGTAAACCGTAAAACTGTTTGCACTACAAACCAGTTTGTTCTACTTAAGATAATACATTAAAATAATAAGGTAAGACACCAGTTTGCAGTAACAAGCTGCTAAACCAGCTGTTTTGTACAGCTAGAAACAGCTGGAAGTGAATGACACCGGAAGCCTTGCACATAAAATGTACAAAGTACCGCACCCGCTCTACTTTTAAGTTACTTTTTAAATCTGGCCAGGGCTTGCTTGTTTGTTTTTCCATATATAAAAAGGTTTTCTTTTACAAATGTAAAAGCACTTTCACACCAAAAGTGAAATGAATGAGTCTAGAACTACAGTAAGATCATGTTCACACACTTACTCCTGATTTCTGTCACCATGGCAACACCAGAGCTGTCACTCAACACATGGAAACAAAGTAACTGGCGTTACCTATTTGAAAAAGTAACTCAGATATTTACTTCTAAATTAAGAAGTAATGCGTTACTTTACTAGTTACTTGAAAAAGGTAATCCGATTATGCTTCCTCAGCTCCACCGACGCCATCGAGACCAATAACAGCTTTCTCTCAGCAACAGTATACGCTTATATGGTTACAGCGCACAGAGCTGTGATTGGTCCAGCCTCATCCCCGACTGCTGTGATTGGTCAGAGCCAGCGGCGCTGAATAAAGGAACAGCCACATCCTCATCTACATTCATTCCAGTTTGGGTGATCTCATTAAGATAGCGACATGGTTAGTATTAAAACTATGATTAAAATACACCAAGACAAAGTATGGGCTTACATTTCTGCCACAATTCTGCGCGTGCAAGATCATATTTTGAGATCATATTTCGCTGAGAAATGTTCGTCTCGCAAATAAACAAGTATTTCGAGTGAACTAAAATCAATTTAGCATTTGAAAGATGTTTATTTGGATGTGCGCGGACGTTCTCTTTCGCACGTGCAGCGTTTCAGTTGCTTGCTCTCCTGATACCCGCGCTGTGTGCTCTCTATTCGCCGACGGCTCGCGTGCTCAACACAACCCAGCGTTACAATAGGCCATAATTCCAGCCAATCAGAGATGAGGCTGCTTAATTCTGATTGGCTGGCTTGACAACCAATCACAAGACTCCCTGCATTACCGACAGCAGGAGAACATTTGCTGAAAAGGGATGGAGACGGTATAATAAAATATGGCTAATCAGGAGAGCAATACATCACAGCGCCAAATGAGTTATGTTTTTGTTGTTGGAGTGTTTATTGTCTATGAACAATAAGCCAGCTTATTACTTGGGTAGCTAGCTAGCTGTCTAGTTAGCAGATGAGTACTGTAATTTGTTGATTCTCATGAATTGGCCGGTTTCACAGACAAGGCTTACATTTATGTAAACGTGTTAAACTTACGCATGTCTTAAAATACATGTTTGAGCTGTTTAAACTGAAATAAACTTGATCTGACATATCTTAAAATATGTTACTGCCTTTGTTTTGTCTCAAGATTCACACCAGTAATTCTTTTTTTTCCTAAGACAATTTAATAAAAGCTACTTAAATATTATAATTGAACTAAGGCCTAATCCTGGTTTAATTTAACCCTTGCCTGTGAAACCGGGCCTATATCTCTTAACTTTTAATCTTTTCTCGTCAGTTATGGGACATTTTGTTGCATCACTTTTCATTTATCTGTCTATCTAAGATTAATAACTTCGTTTATAGTCGCCCTGATCTGGATAAAAGAAGCCTTATCTAAAGAAATGCACATTTTTCCATTTATTTAAAATGATTTAGGGTAATGGAGAAATCGAGTCAGCAGCAAGGAACCTGGTGTGGTTGCTGCTCAACTCAGTGAGCACTGACAGGCAGGCAGCAGAACCTGACACCAGGCCCAAGTGTGACTGTGCGGCAGGAGATGGCTAGGTTCATGCTCACACTTTGTTCTGAAGGAAACCTTATGAGCTCAGTCAACATTTTATTTAAAGTTGATGTGTCCAATGCTGATGTGGAAGGAGATGCAGTTCTTGGTGGCGCACAACCCCTCTCGGTCCAACAGGTTCTCCAGTGGATGACCGGGCAGTCCCACGTCCCTATCCTTCCAGATGAAAAGAGACAGTTCAAAATTACATGTAATTTTGATCACGATTGCATGGAACGACTTGGAAATCACTCTGTATGTTATCCAGTAGTTAGTGCCTGCACTTGTACAGTGACATTTCCCGTTAAACACATGAGCACGTACCAGGAGTTTAAAAGAATTATGAGTGATGCTGTTAGATATGGAGGAGGATTCTTCAGAGTTTAAAACATGATAGTCAGACAGGTCTATCAACACAACATTGTTCACAGGAATTTATTTTTGCTTAATGATAGCACTTTAGAAAATGTTGCACTTTAGCGTGTTTCTTTGGTTAATAATACAATAACAGGTATTTACATTCATGTGCCCTCAACATCTACTTTATACATTAATTCCAATGTAAACATTATACTCTACCTTATCAGTTTATGATTAGTATCAATATGGACCAAGGAAAGGGGGCCTCGCACAGAATAGCTTCTCCGTACTACACATCCTAGTTGTGTGAGCCGTGAAAAGATACCCACTGCATCAACTCTATGCATGGATGCCATCATTCTCCACCATTGAACACGGATTCCCATTGAAACCAGATGTCCCTGAACCATTTGGTAACCAGCATTTGGCATCTGAGACTTGATAGCTGAAATTACATTATCCAGCTCAGGGTCTGTGATGGTGCTGTATGTCCCTCTGACAGAAAGATTATATTCTTTCATTCTTCTGTGAACTGTTCTTGTAGAAACACCAAGGCATTTGGCAATGCAAGAAACAGGTAGATGTGTATCCAGCAAATCTTTTAGTCTTTCTCTCTCAATTACAATTTTTGGGCATCCAGCACCTGCACCAACGACTCTTTCCACTTCCACACTTGGCACACATGTGGCTTCAATCTCAGACCTTACCAGATGATAAAGGTTTCGCAGTCCATGTAAAATCTCTGGGGGAACGTCTATCTGTCCAGAAAAGGATTCAAGTATAACAAGCTCATGGTGGCTTATAAACTCCAAATAATCAAGGTTAAGTGGTTGCTGACTTATTGCAAATTTGTTCAAAAGTCTCTTCAAAAACTGCTCTCTCAGAATATCCCGTGGAATAGAGGTAAAATTAACATTTGCCCTAAAAAGTATACATGTGTATGCTTGTCATATCATACGTATACTCAGAATGACAAACATGACATTATAAAGTGGACAGTTTTGCATATACTACGCATTGCCACAAGACTTCTACTGGAAAATAAAGACGGGATTACTAATCTTACACACAATTTAGGATGGATAGTATGCACATTGGGATGCAGGCTTGTTCTCCCTCACTGCAAAATAAATACATAAATAAAATTATGTTGGTAACAATGACATTAATGCAAAGATAACAGTAAGTGAAAATCTTGGGTGTGTGACCCACAAAGTAGTCATCTTGAGTCACACCCAAGAAATGCCCTTTAGCACACTCAAAATATGATCTTGCACGCGCAGAATTGTGGCAGAAATGTAAGCCCATAGACAAAGCAGCAATTATCAAATGGAGCAGTTGTTTAACTTAGATGAATCCTTGGAGAGCTGCAGTACTTTTTAAACTTTCCTCCACGCGTTATTCTCTCCACAGACTCCACTTCCGGTTTGGAGGCGGTTGTCAAACAGCGCTACCTGCTGAACTCCTCACAAACACACCTCAGAATACTGTTGTATTCTCTAATTATATCACTGTACTATCCTATGCTATATCTTTAGCCAGTGTCTGTAAGACAGAAATCCAGCATTAAGACGTTCCTCCAGTGAAAAAGTGCATCTCCTGTTGTCTCTCACATCAGAATCCAGCCACATATGTGTTTACCAGTGAAAAAGTGCATCTGCTGTTGTCTCTCACATCAAAATCCAGCCACATATTAGTTTAGAGCTGTTTAAACGGTGCTTGATCTGTGCTGATTTCTCTCCTGATTCACACCAGAACACTGACTCACTGGAGGAAGCCTTATTATGGATTATAGACTCTGTGGTATTTGAGTTAAGTGTCTTAATGCTGGATTAGTTTCAGCTTTTGTCTTCTCCAGATGTTAACTGATGGACTGGAGCAGGGCCGGAGTGGGACTCATTTTCAGCCCAGGGGTCTCATTTATAAAACTCTCCGTGGATTTCATCCTAAAAGTGTACATACACTCAAAAGCTAGATTTTGTGTACGCACAAAGGTTTTCAGATTTGCATCATTGATCATTGTTCTCACTAAAAAATATTTTCTCATAGCATGAGATCTGCAGTTTTGTTTAAAGGTGAATTATTGTGCACCTATTGCACTCCTCTCCTTCATTAAAAGAGGAAAAGTGATCAAGCGCATCCACTACAAATGTGTCTAAATTCATATAATTTTGGTTTAACTTCTGCGTAAAGGACTTTATGTAATTTCTGTCCTTATCTCCATTAATGAGAGTGCAATATTTAATGTAAATGTGTATATCGACATGAAACAGAGCTTAAAATCGTTGTTTTTACTTCATTCATTTTCTCACTCCAGGAAAATGAGTTCGTACACATGAGTCAGAGTTTGCGTGCATGTGTGCACATTTTCTAGTCAAGTTTGTTTTTATAAATCCCAACTTTTGCGTAGGAAGTGGCGTACGCCTCTTTCAGGGCTGGCTTTGCGCTTTCTGTTATACATTGTTTGTCTATTATTTTTTGCTCGCATATCTCCAACAATGACTTTTTTTTGGCTGTCAGGGGAATCAAAAGATAATTACGTCATCATTGCCAATTAACATAAGAAATGGAAAATAAGGGACAATTGTGATTCTTTATCTTATTCTTTAAGAAAACAGTGTTTATTCTTTAAGAAAATAAGGGACAGCATAAGGGACGTTCCAGATATTTGTACTGTACCATAATGTAGGCCTAACTGCCTGCAGTTAAAAAGTTCTCAGAAATAATCTCAATTGTTTTGCTTAACCTATTTATGTACAATTATTCTAAAAATAATTTAAAATGTCATTTATTTACTCATGGCTTGAGTAAATTGTACCATTATAGAATTGTGACTTCACACGTGTAAAGGTGAAACTACTGTGAAATTACAAATGGCATGAGATTTGAAAATCTAACAACTGAAGGTCTATGAAAC